GGATCTGGAGCATGTAATGAGTAAAACTGTTTTTGCTGCAGTGTCAGGAATACATTTAAATACCAATGGACACTTTTCAAGCGCGTGTTAGTAAGATTAACAAGACTATCCTTTATTTTAGATTTCAGTATACAGTAGATCTGGTGTGCTCAGTCATGCGCATTGAATTCATACTTTTTGAATGTAGTGTCATTCAAAGGGAAATCTTTAAAAAAGAAAGCCAAGGCTTTACACATTACTCATGAATAACTTGGCTTAGATCTTACATTCTTCACTGAGGTTTTGCTTCATAGTCTTGCTCTGGTAAGGAATTCTCTTTTTATGGATGGAATTCTATGATTATTTTTTTAAATACTCAGGGAACATTTAGATAAATTATTAAAATTATAAACAGCTTCACAGGTCACTTTCTAATGTTTTGAGAGTTGAAAATCCTATAAAAACATGCTATTGATATATTTTTACTGACATATTGATTTACCCATAACAGTATTTTACTATGGCTTAATTCATATACTTGCTCCTGCTTTTGTCTTAATGATAATTTATGGGAAGGAAATTTAAAGGGACCATTAAACTAGTTCTTTGTATATATATATATTTTTTAAATTTTAGATTTTTTTTGAGAATTTTATTTTGTTTTTGTTTTTATTTCCTACTCTAATGATTTTACTTGATCTGACAATCCAAAGCAATATTTTGGTTTATCATTTTTGCTACATAAGTGATCAGATTTTGGTTTTGTTTTGTTCTTTTGAGACAGGGTTTTTCTGTGTGTAGCTCTGGCTGTCTTGGAATTCACCCTGTAGACCAGGCTGGCCTTGAACTCGCAGAGATCCACCTGCCTCTGCCATCCAAATGCTGGGATTAAATGCATACAACACTAATACCTGGCTAGATTTCTTTTTTAAAAAGTATTTTTATTAATTATTTGAGAAGTTCATATAATGTATTTTGATCCTATTTATTCCCCAGCTTTTCTCAGATCTACTTCTACCTCCGAACCCACCCAATTTTGTGTCTTTAATTTTTTAAAATTTTTTATGTGAGTCAACTACATAGTGAGAACTTGCCTCCCCTCCCTCCAATATTATGTGTATAGGTGTTTTTAATTGTATGTATGTCTGAATACCGCATGTGTACCTGGTGCCTTCAGAAACCCGAGAGTGTGTTGGAGCCTCTATGACTAGAGTTACAGAGGTTGTTAGCTACCATATAGTTCTGGGAATCAAACCTGGGTCTTTTGGAATAGCGGCCAGTGCATCTTCCTTTAAAAAAAATCCCATCAAGTCCAATTTGTGTTGCTTAAATACTCTTGGGAATGGGGCCCCAGAGCCTGGTTGATCTCTCAGGGGTCACACCCCTAAAGAAAAAACGACTCTGTCTCCCAGCAGCTTTGATTACCTATAGCTCAGTTTACCTCCATCCTCTACTCCATTCTGGAATTTTTGTCTGTCTTAAACGTGTATAAGTCTTAGGTGCTTTGTCGTAACTGCTGTGAGTTCACCATATGTGAGAGCACAGCTGCTTTGACTGCTGTTGTATTAATCGTCTGCCTCCTTTTTTTTCCCTTTTCTATCGCCCTTTCTCATAAAGATCCCCGAGCCTCTGGGAAAGAGGTACAATGTAGATATAATGTTGGAGCTGAGTACTCCAAAGTTTCTTATTTTCTGCAAGTGGACCAATTTTGGGTCAGCTACTCCAACAGTAAACTTCTCTGATGAGGGTTGAGAAATGCACTAATCAATGGCTAGACAATAAGTCATTAGGATCCAGTTTAATACTGTGTCCATTTAGCAACATAATGGTAGCAGGTATTCCCTATAGTTTTTTTTTTTTTTTTTTTTTTTTTTTTTTTTACCATACACAACGAGTAATTTACAAATCCAGAGGTAAGAGTTTATAGCATAATTTTAAGAATTTTTTGAGAGTATAGCGTAAAGAAATCATAGGAGAGAGAAGTACAAGCTTAGTGAGAAGAGACTTTTGGGACTGTGAAGCGGAACAAGTTTCAATCTAAGAGATCTGGGGATCATTTGTGCAGTTGTTACAGTCTGTGAGAATTGGGAGATTAACTGTCGTGTTTTGGCTATTGATCAGTACTAAGGCCAAGCTGGAGTAATAATATCTGAGTCCATCAAGGAAGATAAAGTCACAAAATGGAACACTGCCAGTGCGGTCCGATAGCCCCTAAGGGGGAGCAGGAAGCTGAAGGTGTGGGACTGCAGGCTGGAGCCAGAGATAGCCAGGAGAGTGCAAGGGAAAAGGAAGCCAGGAAGCATCTTTGTGTGACTTTGTAGTAGGCCTTGGTTCCCAGCTTCTATCTGAGCTGTTATACTTACAGCTCACCACTAAAGGGTGATTCATTTAAACTTATGTTTATATTTAAACTTAAATTTATATATGTATAAATATATATAAATTTATATTATTATATATTATATATGTATAAATATAGATAAATTTATATTCATATATATAAACTTAAATTTATGTATATGTATATTTATATATATTTTAGGAAGCTTCTATAGTAGTAGGTTTCCATACAAATTTTTCAAAAGGCCTTTAAACGTAGTTATCCCTCCCCATAGTCTGTCCTCTATCATGTCCTTCCGTCCTCCGCCTCATTTAAGCCTTCCTATTCAATTAGTCCCCTTTCCCCTTTATGTAACTGCATTTTCTTTTATGATTTTGCTGAAAATATTTTCCAGACCTTGGAGCTGGGAGTCTTTTCCTTCTTCTATTCCTGTTATTCTTAGGTTTGGTCTATTCATAGTGTTGCAGATTTCCTGGATGTTTTGTGTCAGGAACTTTTATGATTTAACTTTTTTTTTTTTTTTTTTTTTTTTTACTGTTGTATCGACTTCTCCTATCGTAGTTCTATGGCCGAGATTCTCTCGTCCATCTCTTGTATTCTTTTGGTGATGCTTGTGTCTATTGTTCTTGTTTTCTTCAGTAGGTTTTCCGTTTCCAGAACTGCCTCAGACTGTGTCTTCTTTATTGCTTCTATTTCCATCTTCAGGGTGAGGGGTAGTTTAAGGATGTTAAATAGGGCAGGCAATGGCTTGGGTACCACTTGTTTCCTGGTTGTCCCTGGTGACTGCAGGCCTCCAGGAATGCGGGTCATGTTGTAGGGGCAGGAAATGGAACACAGGGTATGGGGTGCAGTTTACTGTTGGTGTGGCCTCAGGGAACGTAGGTAGAATTGCGGGTGGGAAGTGGAGCACAGGATACGGGGGTGAACTGTATTTTTCTAATCATACCCTTTCTCTAGAACTTTATTAAGAATTCAGTTGCAAAAAAAAAAAAAAAAGAATTCAGTTGCTTTTTGGATCTCCTTTTGATAATCGTAATTATTTGGTTTTTCGACCCTTGATATTTTAATGATATCAAAGTAAACCTAGTAAAGATCCACAAGGGAATAAGTAGCTAAACTGATTATGGGGGAGGCAAAACCTCAATTTTCTTGTTCAGAGGCATTTTCTGGAAATAATATGTAGGTATAAAAATAGATGAGTTAGAAAATAATATATAGGTAGATAAAGAGAGAATCTACTCACTCTCTCTCTCTCTCTCTCTCTCTCTCTCTGTATGTGTGTGTGTGTGAGTGAGAGAGAGTGATGGAGACCAGAACATGACCTCAGGTGTCAGTCCTCAAAAGCCACCTTACAGTTTGAGAAAAGGTCTCACTGGGACCTGAGATTTGCTATCCGGCTAAAATGGCTCACTAGGACCAGATTTGCTAATTCAATTATACTCCTAAAACTCCAAGGATCCTCTTATCTCTACTTCCCCAGTTCTGGGATTATAAGTGCATGCTACCAAGCTTGGCTTTTTATGTAGGTTAGAGCTCCAAACTCAGGTCCTTATACTTGCATGGCACAACCAGCTGAGCACTTTACCAACTGAGCTGTCTCCTCAGCCCTTGACATGTTACATATTTCAGAAATAGCATCTTGCTTTGTTGTTCATTTTGTGCTCATATGAATCTGCTCCCTCGGCCTCCCAAACAGCTTACTGCAATGAAGTGACAGTACGATGAAATGCAATGTGTTCGGTGATGTTGACCTTTAATGGTCAAAAAGGTTCAATTTTATGTGAGAGAACTAGGAAGTTAAACATTTATTTATATTTTGTGTTTATGTGTGTATACACATGCATGTGTGGTGTGCATGCCTGTGTCCAGAGCACAACCTCAGGTATTTTTCCTTAGGCACTCTCTACCTTGTCTTTTGAGACAGGCACTCTGATTAGCTAGTACTGAACTGAGTAAACTAGATTGGCCTGCCAGTAATCTTCAGGGACCCACACTTCTCCTCCTCTCCAGCACTGGAATAACAACCATGTGCCACCATGCCTGACATTTTACACGAGATCTGGGAATTAAACTCTGGTCCTCATGTTTACAGAGCAAACACTTTACCGACTGAGCTATTTCTCTAGCCATGGACTGCCTGTTTAAAAAAGGAAATTGTCAAGCTAACCTAAAAAAGTTGATTTTGCAGGGTAATTCATTTAAAAAAAATTGGTTAGACAGTTTTACACATATAGTTAAAGTATTATAGTCTTTTAAAGAAACATATTAAATAGCTGGTTACTCTTACATGAGTGTTTTTAAGCAATGAAACAAGCCACATTTGCTGATTTCACTGGTGAGTCAGAGTCTTACTGTTCTAATGAAGACATTTACGGAAATTGGTGGTTTGTGCCAAAAGGGAAGATGAGAAAGGGGTATAGAATTCTATTGCAGTTTAAACTTTCTCTTGATGTGCTAATGTATTTGAATCCTGTAAATATCTAGACCAGAAATAATCAAGCACAAGTTATAATTGAAATGAATATAGTTTGTCTGTAAGTGTGGTCTTAAAGTACTTTTTCAAAAAGCTTTAAGATTTTCTTGTGAACTTGGTCTGATCTTTTTAGTGCATAATAATCTGAGCAGTTCTTAGTAATGATTTCTGACATTGCTGTCTGCTCATTCCCAATAACCTTATTAGGGCACCAGATGATGATCGAATTTTGAACATGAAAAGTAAGTTAAAAAGAGACTAGACTAGGAATCTGTAAGAGACTGATTGCAACAAACTGTATTATATAACCAATTGTAGTACTAGCTCAAATTGGAGGTGTAAACGTGTTTGAGTGTGATTGCTTTATAGACATTAGTAGATATTTATAGACTTAAAGATTAAGTACAGTTATGTGATTAAGTCTAGTGTGAATATAGTTAGCATCCTTTGTTTAATGCAATGGATTTAGCTTCTTTTCAGAGGCTGTGTGTCTGTGTTTGGTTTGTTTGTTTGCTTTTTTTCAGGTCACCAAACAAAAAGCCCACTGAGAAGAGATTTAGTAAATTGGTTACACAACATTCTGTGGGGAAAAAAAAAAAGCAGCCAGAAATTTTAAGGTTTGGAAATAATCTATTTTCATTCTCTGGATTGATTTCCCTCTGCACCAAATAAAAACACGGTTCACTATAGATATCATAGAGAACAGGATCTGGGAAATGCAGCTCGGTAGTAGAGCACTTGTGTAGCACGTATAAGACCCTAGATTCTATGCTCAGAGCCACATAAGCAAATAAACAAGCAAACAAAAATATAGTAGTACTACCTTAATGGTCTATATTTTTAGATACCATCTATGTAGTAAGTATTCATAGTACAGAATGTCAATGGGTATAGTGTGAACATTTATTCAAAAATAGTAAGTCATGATTCTTCCCTACTGTGACCTCTTTTTTAAAGGCAAATGATATTATTGATAGGAAAATAATTTAATGTGAGAGGCAAGAAAGTTGGGGATGGGGTTATTCCCTTTAAAAAGATATTCTTTTTTTTTTAACAGCAAAATGATGATTTATTTAGTTTACAGATAATTTGCACATAACAATCCATTTTTTTTCGTATCAGTTACATTTTATTAACTCTGTATCCCAGCCGTGTCCCAATCCCTCATTCCCTCCCAGTCCCTCCCTCCCTCCCTCCTCTCCACCGTGCCCCTTGCCAAGTCCACTGATGGAGGGGACCTCCTCCCCATTCATCTGATCCTGTTTTATCAGGTATCTTCAGGACTGGCTGCAAAGCTCTCCTCTGTGGCCTAACAGGACTGCTCCTCCCTTGGGGGGTGGGGAGGCCAAAGAGCCAGTCATTGAGTTCCTGTTAGAAATAGTCCTTGTTCCCCTCACTATGGGAAACTGAGCTACCACAGGCTACATCTGAGCAGAGGTTCTAGGTTATATCCATACATGGTCCTTGTTTGAATGTCAGTCTCAGAAAAGACCCTGTGCCCAAATATATTTGGTCCTTGTGGAGCTCCTATCCTTTCCCCTTCTAACTTATGACTAACTCCCCTTCTTTCTTATGATTCCCTGTACTCTGCCAAAGGTTTGGTCATGAGTCTTTGCTTTGAAAACACTGCTACTTAGAGTCTTTCAAATGTGCTCAGTAGACTCCTGTCATACGTTCAATGCACATCCCATCTGTCTTTCTAAATGAGGATTGATCATCTTACCCCATGTCTGCTCTCTTGATTATCTTTTTTAGGTGTACAGATTTCATTATGTTTATCACATCTTATAGGTCTATATAAGTGAGTATATACCGTGTTTGTCTTTCTCCTTCTGGGATATAAAAAAGATATTCTTGCTTTTAAAAATTATAAAACAATCCTGGTTTCCTGTGGAAATATTTCTAACTACAGATAATCATTTTTTTAAAAAGCAAAGTACAATTGCTTTTTATTACATCATTAAAAAATTGAATGTTTGTTACATGTATGTGACTGTGTATGTAAAATAGGATATACTTTCTTTAAAAAACATAAGTTGGAGTCAGGCCCAATGGTGCACGCCTATAATTTCAGTACTCTAGAAGGCAGAGGCAGGTGTATCTCTGTGAGTTTGAGGCCAGCCAGGTCTACAAAGTGAATCCAGGACAGCCAAAGCTACTTAGAGAAACCCTGTCTGGAAAAACAAACAAACAGGGAGGGAGCTACAGGGGAGATACAAAGTGAATAAACTGGAATTAATAAAAATAAATTAAAAAACAACAAACAAAAACCCAAAATAACCAACCAAACAACAACAACAACAACAAAACATAAGTTGTTTAGCACTTCCATTTTCAACCAAAATGTAGCAACAAGGGCTAACTTTTGTCCCTGCTTAAACAACACTCCTCCCAGAAATACAAGGCAAAGCCTCAGACACGGTGGCACATACTCATTATCTCCCCATTCAGGAGATGGAGGCAGGTGGATATCTGGGAATTTGAGGCAAGTTTAAATTAACATTGAGAGTTCTAGGCCAGACTGGACCACATAGTGTGATGCTGGCTCAAAACAGCAAAATGAAAAGCAAATTCTCCCCCACCCCCCGCCCAGAAATAAAACAACCAAAAAAAGACAAAACCTAAAATACATTTCTAAAAGTTGGTTTGTTGGCATTGAATATCAGATGATGACAAATGATCATTGGAAGATAAGAAATAAAGTCAGGGGTATGGAGAGATGGCTCAGAGATGGCTCTGACTGCTCTTCCAGAGGCCCTAAGTTCAATTCCCATCCCCCACATGGTGGCTCCCAACTGTCTATAACTTGAAGATCTGGCACCAGCACACAGATACATGCAGGCAAAACACCAATGCACATGAAATAAAAAGAATTTAAAAAGTCATGTGGATGGAGAGTTAAAATAAAAGACATAAAGTAAGCAATTCAGTTATTTGGCTTACTTCAGAAGTTTCTAGACAGCCGCAGAGGAAGGGGAGCTGGAGTGTGGTCTGAAAAGCATTTGGATTTTATTTGAAGAGCTGGAGTGAAAAGTCTGGGGAGGCTAAGTCAGAGTTCATAGAAGAGGGTATCAGAAGATGAGTGTATAGCAGAGCCTCCAGTTTTCAGTGTCTCACAACATATACATGAAATGAAATATCTCAAGTCAGAGTAGTAGCCATGTAAAAATACTACAGAGTACAGTACTGGGCACTCACATGGGTCTGGGAATAGAGCCTATCTTATCATTCAGACTGGAAACCTCTAAATCGTGGCGAATTCGATAAAGATCTCAGAGGTTATTGCTTCAGCAGGAGGGAATCAGTCCCATAATGAGCCCTTTCCCAGAACAAACTAAAAGCCATGTAAGTCTATGAGAAAGGATCAAATTGACCAGGGAACTTCATTGATTCAGAGCCCCATTTAAATTATCTGTTGAAGTTCACAGTGTTTGAAATCTAGTAAGTAAATTTTTGAGCATACAAAGAAGCGGGATAACAGAACCTATAATGAAGAGTCTAAACAACCAATTGAAAGCAACCAAGAACTGATACCAAATTAGCATCAGTCTCCCTCCCTCCCAGCCACTTCCCTGTGTCCTTTCCTCCTCTTTCTTCCTCCCTCTGCCTTCTTCTCTCTCTCTCTTCCTCCCTCTGTCTCTCCCTTCCTTTCTGCCTTTCTTTTTCTACCTTTGTTTTGCATCTCAGCTTGTAGCTATCTTGGCCTGAAATAGACTGGCAACCAATCAAATTAAATATTCATATACACTAGAACATTATTTGACCCCAAAAAAGAAGTGTGATTTCTCAATGTAAACAATATATTTGTATGAAAATGTGTTTATACAACACAGTACAATGTACAATGAATATATACAATTATTTTTAAAAATATACCTGCTTTTAAGAATTGTTCCTTCATGCTAAATATTTTTTATTCTTTTCATTTTTTTATCCTTTTAAAAATTTGTACTTTTTTATATTAATTACGGTTTATTTACTTTGTATCCTAGCTGTAGCCCCCTCCTTCATTCCCTCCCATTCTCACCCTCCTTCCATCATCTCTTCCCATGCCCCTCTCCAAGTCCACTGTTAGGAGAGGCCCTTCTCTCCTTCTGTCTGACTCTAACCTATCAGGTCTCATCAGGACTGGCTGCATTGTCCTCTTCTGTGGCCTGGTAAAGCTACTCCCCTGTCAGGGAGAGGTGATCAAAGAGCCAGCCACTGAGTTCATGTCAGAGACAGTCCCTGTTCCTCTTACTAGGGTACCACTTGGATACTGAGCTGCCATGGACTACATCTATGCAGGGGTTCTAGGTTATCTGAATGCATGATCCTTGGTTGGACTATCAGTCTCAGAAAAGACCCCTGGGTCCAGATTTCTTAGTTCTGTTGTTCTCCTTGTGGAACTCCTGTTCCCTCCAGATCTTTCTATCTCTTCCTTCTTTCATGAGATTCCCTGCACTCTGCCCAAAGTTTGGCTATGAGCCTCAGCATCTGCTTTGATACCCTGCTGGGTAGAGTCTTTCAGAGGCCCTCTGTAGTAGGCTCCTGTCCTGTTCCCTGTTTTCTCCCTCTTCTGATATCCATCCAGTTTGCCTTTCTGAATGAGGATTGATCATCTTACCCAGAGTCCTCCTTCCTACTTAGCTTCTTTAGGAGTATAGATTTTAGTATGCTTATCCTATATTATATGTCTAATATCCACTTATAAGTGAGTATATACCATGTGTATCTTTCTGCTTCTGGGATACCTTACTCAGGATGATCTTTTCTAGTTTCAACCATTGCTGGTGGAAATATAAACTTGTACAACCACTTTGGAAATAAATCTGGCACTTTCTCAGACAATTAGGAATAGCACTTCCTCAAGATCCAGCTAGACCACTGCTAGGCATATATCCAAAAGATGCTCAAGTATACAACAAGGACATCTGCTCAACCATGTTTGTAGCAGCTTTATTTGTAATAGCCAGAACCTGGAAACAACCCAGATGCCCCTCACCTGAGGAATGGATACAGAAATTGTGGTACATTTATACAATGGAATACTACTCAGCAATTAAAAACAAGGATATGGTGAAATTTGCAGAATTGTTCCTTTAAATGCATATTTTAATTGGCAAAGGTAAATAATTGTGATACACACTATAATGTGAGTCCTGAGAATATTAAGATAAGTAAAGTAAGCTAGTCAAGTAAATGGTATTCAGTTCTACTTATGTGAGTTGCATAGAGTAGTCACATTCATAGAGATGTGTCCTATGATGGTGGTTGCCATGTTCTTGGGATGAGGAAGAAATGTGGAGAATAAGTATAGAGTTTTATTTTGTTTTTATGCTGGCTATTGAACTCAGGGCCATATGTATACTAGTCATGGACTCTTATTGCTTTATACCTTCAGCCCTAAGGTTTTCATATTTTAAAAGATGGGTAAGATTTGGAGATTGGTTCCTTAATATGATGAATATTCATACACTAGTGACCTGCATAGTTAAAAATTGTTAAGATAAGCTTTGGGAACAGGGGAGGTAGAAATTTCACTCAAGGGATACATAACAAAACCTGTTTCTCTCTTAAAACGTTATGATGATGAATTCAGTGTTATTCTTTTTATATGATTAAAACTAACCATAAAAATGAAACCCAGATGAAGACTTTAAAGTATTCAAAAGCAGAAGGAAACTGATACCAGCTAGAAATATGGATCTATACAAAAGAATGAAGAACATCAGAGATGGTAATTACATGAATAAACATATAAGATATTTTCTTCTCATGAAAATTTCTTTAGTGCTGTGGTTGTAGCTCAGTTGGTAAAGTGCTGGCCATGTAAGCATGAGTACCTAAATTAGATCTCCAGCATCCATGCCAAAAAAGGAAAGATGCAGGCTGATAAGCTCAGTGCCGAGCAGATAAGACAGGTGGATTCCTGGTGGTCCCTGGTCAGCCATCATAGCCTAATTTGAGAGTCCCTGTCCTAATAAGAAATCCTATCTCACAAAACAAAACGGAAGGTTCCCAAAGAATGAAATTGATCTACAGACACACACACACACATACATGTACACACATACACATATACATACGTGCCCAACATGAACATTCACATACAGAATAAATTTTAAAAGATGTCTGCTTAAACAAAATAATAAGATAGTCTTATGGGTTTTATAACATGTATAAAAGTATCATGTATCACACTGTACATTATAATAACATACATAGGCCAAATGGAAATAGAAATGCATAATTGTCAAGTTCTTATAGCATAAAATTGAAGATAGACAATGATAACTTAAACATTAATATAATATAACACAGTAAAACAAAGTTCTATCTCATATGCCAATAAAGGAGAATAAAAGCAAATCCTAAATATGCTTACATAATTCAAAAGCAAACAGAAAGTGGGGGAAAAAGTTGATGGAACAAAGGCTGGAGAGATGGATCAGTGGTTAAAAATACATAAAAATTTTGTATCTTTACTTTGAAGTTAGATGGAACAAGTAGAAAGCAAATGACTATTAGTTGGACCAGGGGTAGTATATGCCTGTTATCTTAGCAATTGGAAATCTGAGGCAGGAAGATCACAAGTTCTATGCCAGCCCAGCCTATATAACAGTGACTTTCTCAAAGGAAAAAAAAAAACCAAACAAACAAATAACAAGATGATAGATTTAAATGTAAACATATTAAAAATCATATTAAATGAAATAACCATACCACTCCAGTGAAACATAGAGATTGTCAAGTTAGATAAAAATAAAACAAAAAGCGAGTTTATGTTCTTTTTTTTTTTTTCCAAGACAGGGTTTCTCTGTGTAGCCTTGGCTATACTGGACTCAATCTGTAGATCAGGCTGGCCTCGAACTGGAACTCACAGAGATCTGCCTGCCTCTGCCTCCCTGAGTGCTGGGACTGTAGGCGTGTGCCACCGTACAGCTTAAGTTTATGTTCTTAAAGCTATAAGTTTATGTCCTTAAAGCAAAAGGATGAGAAAACTCTGTAGAGAAATAATATTAATCTAAAACTCATCACAACCAATTTCAAGACATCATAAAGCCACACCATTTCTCTATAGATTGTGATAATGTCAATGGCAAAGACACATAGATCAACAGAAATAAAGAACCCCAAATTAAGCCAGGCATGATCTACAGAGTCCAGGACAGCCAAGGTTACACAGAGAAACCCTTTCTTGAAAAAACAAAAGAAGAGTCAGCCCCTGATCCCCTTACTAGGGAACCCACTTGGAAACTGAGCAGCCTACGGTGAGCAGAACCATCTGGTGAGTTAGCACCGGCTTCCTCTGAGCAGGGGGTCTAAGTCCTTTCCATGCATGGTCTCTGCAGGACACCTGAGCCCAGCCTTTTTTTTTTTTTAACTTTGTTGGCCTCCTTATGGAGCTCCTGTCCCCTCCAGGTCTTTCTATCTCCCCCTTCTTCCATAAGATTTCCTTCACTCTGCCCAAAGTTGGGCTATGAGCTTCAGCATCTGCTTTGATACCCTGCTGGGTAGAGTCTTTCAGAGGCCCTCTGTGGTAAGCTCCTGTTCTGTTTCCTGTCTTCTCCCACTTCTGATGTCTATATTGTTTAGGCTGTAGAAAATTAAACCAAAGCTCTCACTATAGTCTTGGCTGAATTATTTTGAAAATTCAAGTTCTAGCCTTGAATGGTGTTTGTAGCTAAAGTTAAGTGCATTAGTTAGTAACATATGGGACCCTGTAACTTAGAATGGGGATGTATATGATGATCCTATTGAAGCTGAGAATGTTGAACCCTCAGAATCTCAAGGGTTTACCTTACCTGAGGAAGCAATCTCTCCACCCTGAGCAGAAGATGTACTCACACCCCCCCACCCCTGAAAAATTAAATGTTCATTGTTTATTAAACCAGCACTGACTTTCTCTGAAGGAGATGCCAGGCAAGACAGTCCTGATGTTTCTCAGGCCACCAATAGTTGCCTCTAGACTTATAACCAGACTTAAGGCTAAAGCAAGCTTCTAGAGGGGAGATAGAAAGAGTAGCCCATGGGGAGGTGCACTACACTTATAAAGAGTTTAATGAGTTTGCTAATTCATTTAAGCAGAAGTCTGGGGAATATGTATGGGAATGGATTTTAAGGGTATGGGATAATGATGGAAGGAACATAAACATACAACTGTTTGCCAATATGGATGCATTTCTAGGTTTAACACTGGAAACTCACACAATTAAAAAAGTGTCAAAATATTTTTGAATGGTTGGCTGAAGTAGCTGTCAAAATATGGCCTATTAAAAAGGAGATGGAGATGCTTGTTGTTGATGAAGGAATTTTAGGGCCCAGGGAATTTGCAATGTTAAAGTGAAAACAGTATGTAAAACCTAAATCCTCCACAATGGAAGTCAGAGAAGACATACCCTTTACTACTCCTATAAGATGCAAAAGGTGAGAGGGACACTGGAATATTTGAAGAGCTTTGTTGTTGCCTTTTTTCTTGTGGCAAGAAAAAAAAAGCATCTCAGGGTTGGAGATGCTGCTGCTCAGATGGATTAATTAAATGAATGGGTTCAATTGGACTACAAAGTATCAGGGGCCAGGTGGCAGCACTGAATCTCCAAAGGCCAGACAGTTGGGGGCTTGGAAACAGCATGATTAGACAATTGATGAGAAAGAAATATGGGGAAGAAGTATGTAGCTAGATCTCTCCAAATGGGAGAAAGAAGTGAAGATTCTATTATCCCACGTAAATGTTCATCAAAAGATGACTTCAGCTGAGAAGGAGTTCAGTAATCAAGTCGACAGGATGACCTATTCTGGGGACAGTCAGCCTCTTTCCCTAGACATTCTTGTCATTGCCCAATGGACCCGTGAACAAAATGGCCATTGTGGAAGATAGGAGTTATGCATAGGTAGACAACATGGATTTCTACTCACCAAGGATTACCTGGGTACAGCTGCTGTGAGTAACAGATCTGCCAACAGCAGAGACCAGTTCTGAGCCCCAGATATGACACCATTCCCCGGGGTAACCAGAGAGTCGCCTGGTGGCAGGTTGACTAAATTGGGTCACCTTCCCCATGAAAAGGACAATGCTTTGTCCTTACTGGGGAATATTTTTGCTGTGTATGGATTGGCCTTTCCTGCAAAAGCTCCCATCCATGGATTTGCAGAATACCTTATCCAGTGTCATGGTGCTTCACCCAATCTTGCTTCTGATGAAGAAACTCCCTTTACAGCTAGAGAGGTGTGATAACAAGAGGCGCATGATCTTGGGCATTCCCTGGTCTTAACCCTGTTCCCTGCCGTCCTGAAGCAGCTGGCCTGATAGAAAGATGGAACAGCTTTTTGAAGACACAGTTAAAATACCAATTAAGTGGCAGCATCCTCAAGGACTGGGGGCATGGTTCTCCAGATGGTAATCCACTGTGCTTTGAGTTAGCATCCAATACGGTTTCTTCCTTAGCTAGGATCCATGGGCCCAGGAGTCAAGGGGTGGAAAGGGAATAGGACCACTCACTATTGCCCCTAATGACCCACTATGAACATTTTTTTGCTTCCTGATCCAAAGACCTTAAGTTCTGATGGCCTAAACGTTTTGGTTCTGGAGTCAGGGAACACTCCTGCCAGGACTGACAACGAACATTCCATTCATCTGGAAGCTCAGACTCCCCTCCCACCTTGGCTACTTTGGGCTTTTGATGCTCTTTAAGCCAACAGGCTAAGAAACAAATAACAGTGTTAGGAGGGGGCTGATTACCATGGGGAAATTGAAATGCTAATACACAGTGGGGGTAAGAAAGATTATGTTTTAGTGCAGGAGATCCTTCAGGGTGTCTCTAGGTGCTACCATGTCCTATGATTAAAATCAGTGAGAAACCACATTAGCCTACTCCAAGCAGGATGACAAAGGGCACAGATCCATCAGGAATGAAGGTATGGGTCACTCCTCCAGGAAAAGCGTCCAGACCTGTTGAAGTTCTTGCTGAGGGTGGAAGAAATACAGAAGGGTCGTAGAGGAAGGTGGCTGTAAATACCAGCTAAGGCCATAAGACAAGTTGCAGAAATGAGGATTATAATTGATATGAGTGTTTCTGTGATATTTTGTTAATAATGTACTTGTATATATAATTTCCTCAATTTACATGCAATATAACATCAGTTAAGAGAATATCAGTGGGGGCTGGAAAGATAACTCAGAGGTTAAGGCTCTGAGTTCAATTCCCAGCCACCACATGGTAGCTCATAACCATCCATAATGAGATATGATGCCCTCTTCTGGCCTGCAGGCAGAATACTACATAAATAATAAATTATAAAAAAAGAGAATATTAGTGGTTATCATATTTAAGTCTGAGGTACTAAAAGAATGTCGTTCTTCAAGGGGCATTTTCACCTGTTCTAAATTTATAACGTACATTCTATAAGTTTCTCTAGAAAACACTGACTAATACAGTTGTCTCTGGGTTTTATCATATATAGCCTTTATTATGTTGAGGTGTATTTCTTGTAGTTCTGTTCTCTCTAGGACTTTTATCATGAAATCATGTTCGGTTTTCCCAAAGTTTTTTTTTTCTCCTTCTATTAACATGAACTTATGTTTTTTTTTTTATCCTGATGTATATTTTTATGATTTGTTACATGCATTGACTTATGCATGTTATATCATCCTTGCACTTACAGGATGAAGCCAACCTGATTGTGGTGAATGATGTTCTTGACATGTGCTAGTATTTGGTTTGTAGTACTTTATTGTGTACCTATGTACATCAGAGGTATTGGTCTGTAGGATTATTTTTGTTGTGTCTTTACATGGTTTGGTTATTAGGATAATAGTGGCTTCACGGAACAAATTTAGGAGTCATCTTTCTGTTTTCTACAATTTTTGAAGAGTTTAAAACATTAATTATAGCTTTTCTTTTAAAGTCTGGTAGAATTTTGCAATGAATCCATCTGGACCTGGAGAGTGTTTGTTTGTTTGTGAAAGGGAAGGGAACTTTTTTTGGTCTCAGTCTTCTTTTTATGGTTATGTTTAGGTTGTTTGTCTCTTCTTGGTTTAACATTGCTAGTTTGGATGGGTCAAAAAAATAATCTTTTTCTTTTGGATTTTCCAACTTAATGGAGTACAGATTTATAAAGCATTACTTTATAATATTCTGTATTTCTTCGATATCTGTTGTAATATTTCTTTGTTCATTTATAATTCTGTTAATTTGGGTCATCTCTTCCTTTCTTTTGGTTAGAATGAGCTCTTAGATTTATTGATTCTTTGTATTATTTTGTTTCTATTTCATTAATTTCTTTGGTTTTTATTATTTCTTGACATCTGCTGAGTTTGGGTTTGGTTCATTCTTTTTTTTCCCCAAAATTTCAGAGTTTTATCATAAAGTCATTTAATTTGTTCTTTTTCTGATTTTTTAGAGTAGACAATTAGGCCTATAAACTTCCCTTTTAGTATTAATTTTTATGTACCGAAGAGGTCTAGTCATGATGCATTTTCATTTTAATTTAATTCCAGTAATGTTTTCATTTCTTTCTAATTCTTCTTTGACCTTTTCACCATTTCATAATGAGTTGTTTAATCTCCATGAACTAAAACACTTACTGGAGTTTGTTTGCTGTCAATTTTTAGTTTTATTGGATAATGGTCAGCTAAGGTACATGGAATTAGTTCAGTTTTTCAGTATTTGTTAATGTCTGCTTTGTGTCTATTTTAGAAAAGTTTCCATGTGCTGCTATGTAGATTATTTTTTGGCATTTGGGTGGAATATTCTGTAGATATTTGTTAGGACCATTTTATGTAGGATGTTATTTAATTCAGAAGTTTCTCTGTTTTTTTTTTTTTTTCCAGATGACTTACCTGTTGGATAAAATAGGGTGTTCAAATTACCTACAATTATTGGTTTTGTGTTAATTTGTGTCTTTAATTTGAGCAGTATGCTTTTTATGAAATTGGGTGCACCAAACTTTGGTGCATCTGTGCTCAGTATTGTGGTATTTCCCTGGTTAATTAATCCCTTGATTAGAATGAAGTGACCTTTATTGTCTTTAGTTTTAGTTTTATTTATTGTCTATTGTTTTAATTTGATGTTTATTTTGTCAGATATTTAAATAGCAATACTGCTTCCTTTTTTATTCTGTTTTTTTTGAAATCTTTTTTCTGTCATTTTACTTTAAGGTAGTATATATCTTTAAATTTGAGTTTCTTGTAGGCAACAGATACATGAGAATTTTGTTTTTTGTTTTTTTCCAAATAATATTTTTATTGATTATTTGGGAATTTTACAACATGCACCCCGATCATACTTACTTCCTTGTCCTCACAGGTCTGCCCCTATTTTTCTGACCTACCCCACAGAAAAGAAGAAGAAAAATCCACAAACTCAGTTTGCGTTTTTCATATACTCACTGGAGCATGGTCAAACTCAAGGAGCCAGCTCCTTAAAGAAAACGGACTCCTTTTTCATCTGCACCCCTACCAGAAGCCTTCAGTTGTGGAACCCTAAACTTAAGGATTTTTATCACAATTTTGTAGAGTTTTCTTTGATGATTTACTGTCTAGGCTCTTTTGGGGGTGGTGGTATGGCATAGGGTTGGGGTACGAGTTGTCACAGAAGCCTTCTATGTCCCTCTTTTTCAACTGCGAGTCTTCAGTCATCAATATCACTGCAAAAGTAGTTTCTTTGCCCTTTCCAGTCAGCAGGAGCATGGATCGTGGACTTCTGCATGGGTTCTGGCAACAGCAAGGACCGCAGACATCCACGTGGTCTCCAGTGGTAGTACAAACCGTGGACATCAACATGGCTCTCGGCTGCAGCACAGGCCATGGACAGATTTTGTTTTTTAATACATCGAGCTCGCTGAGTCATTTGATAGTTGAGCCCATTTATATTTAGGGTTAATTGAAAGATGTGTGTACAGGGCATTTGGCAGTTATTTTAGTTGTGCTTTATATTTCATTGTTACAGCTTTTTTTTTTTTTTATCTTTTGGGTGTGCTTACTCCTATCTTCAGTTGAAAGTATTGCCTTTTGTTTAGTGGGGATTTTTGTAGTTTTGTTTTATATGAATTTGTTAGGCTGTTGGATCATGGGAAGTTTTAAATTTTTTTTTTAACTGTGACAGATAGTTTTGCTGGGTACAGTACTCTAGTTTTCATGTCATAGTCTTTTAGAATTTGGAATATCTTGTTCCAGATTCTACTGGCTTTTGGAGTTTCAATTGAGAAATCAAATGTTATTCTGATGGGTTTTCCTTTATATGTAACTTGGGTTTCCTCCTCTGGCAGCTTTTAATATTTTTAGAAGTGTTTTGCATATTTAATGTTTGTACTGATTGGTTTACTTGACACAAATTAGAGTTGTTTTGGAAGAAGGAACCTCAGTTGAGAAAATGGCCTTATCATATCGGCCTGTGGGCAAACCTTTGGTGCGATTTCTTGATTGATAATTGATGTGAGAGGCCTCAGCTCACTGTGGCACTTGCCATGCCTAGTCTGGTGGTCTTAGTGTAAGAAAGCAGCTTAAGCAAGCCATGAGGAGCAAGCCAGATAACAGCACTCCTCCATGGCCTCTATCCTACCTCTAGATTCCTGTTCCAATTTCTCTTCATTATGGGCTGTGATTGTAACATGTAAGCTAAAATAAAACCCTTCCTCCACAAGGTACATTAGATCATGGTATCTTATCACAGCAACAGAAACATTAACAAAGATTGTGTTTTAACTATGATTGTGGTACCAGGGGCCAAACCTAGGGCATTGTTCATGCTAGGTATGTACTCTACCGGTGATTTACCCTATCCTCTCTGTTACTTCTTTTCTGTTTTGTCTTTCAGTTAATTAAATTTCTCTTTACATATTTCTAATCTACTACTCATCCTGTTTATTTCATTTTCATTTTACTTATATGTTTTACTTCAAGAAGTTCCTCTTTTTCAACATTTCAAGGTCATGTTTTAAAATGGTCTTTGGGGATAGAGGCTCAGTGGTTAAAATACGCTGGTTGGTCTTGCAGAGGATCTCATGTTTATTTCACAGTACCAATTTAGTGGCTCACAATTGACTGTAACTCCAGTGCTAGAGGATTTGATGCCCTCTTCTGGGTCCTTAAGTTGCAGACATGCATGTAGTACATATACATACATGTAAGCATAGCACACATATATATAAAAATAAATCTTTAAAATTAGTCCTTGTTTCCATGAAGTTCACTGATAGTCAAAAAATGTTAAAACTGTTATAGTGTAGGAAAAGCTAATTAGAATGCATCCAAGCTTGAAAGATCACTATAATTGTGTTGCTAGGTACCACTATTAATCTACCTACTTTCATTTTTAAATATATCTTTTTTCAAACTTTGAAAGCATAGATGTTTATAATTAGTTTTTTTTATTATCTCAGTTTCTGCATCTTGAATATCTGTTTCTATTAGTTATTATTTCTGGTGTTATTAATTTATGGTGCCTGATTTTATAGGGTGCTTGGTTATTTTTTTAATGTTTACAGCTCATCATTCTTGAAAATTTATTTATGAAATATTTTGAAATGAATGTCTTCTCTCCCAGAAAGGATTTCCCTTTCTTGCATATATTTGGGGGCAATGATTTATAACTTTAGGTCTTTCAAGCTCTCTCCCCACCAGATAATTTAGGGCTGCAAACAAAAGAAGTCTTACTTGTGTTACAATTCAAGGAACATTTCCTCCTATGTGGTGTGCTGCATTCTATTCAGTGCCAAAGTAACTTTTTTTGTTGTCTCCTGGAGTGGATATAGGGATGAGCAAGGCTGCTTCTGATTTAGTCTTAGTCTAACCATGTACTCTTGTGGAACTTGATGTCTAGTTCCTGATTTACAAAAGCCTGTCAAATTTTCAGTAGACTTTTGCTCACATTCACAAACACTTACCAGTCAAAAGTAGTTTTAAGTCTCTGCTTACCATTCTGGGACTTTTCTTTTTCTTAGATTTGGTTTTATAACATTTTTTTTTGCAACTTTCCCAGTTGTCTTATTATTTTCTCTCTCTTTTATAAATTAAAGCATATTATCCCTCTGTGGTAGGACCCTGTCTTGTCTTCTATTTTTCTCCCGCTTCCAATATCTATCCCATTTGCCCTTCTGAATGAGGATTGAGCATCTTCCCTATGATCCTCCTTGCTTAGTTTCTCTAAGCATACAGATTTTAGTATGTTTATCCTATATTATATGTCTAATATTCAATTATAAGTGAGAATATACTATGTGTGTCATTCTGCTTCTGGGATACCTCACTCAGGATGATCTTTTCCATCAGGGTATTAAAGCAGATGCTGAGACTCATAGCCAAACTTTGGGCAGAGTTCAGGGAATCATATGAAAGAAGGGGGGAGATGAAAGACCTGGAGGGGACAGGAGCTCCATAAGGAGAGCAACAGAACCAAAAAATCTGGGCCCAGGGACCTTTTCTGAGACTGATACACCAACCAAGGACCGTGTATGGATATAACCTAGAACCCTTGCTTAGATTTGACCCATGGCCACTCAGTCTCCAACTGGGTCCTTAGTAAGGGGAACAGGGGCTGTCTCTGACATGAATTCAGTGGCTGGCTCTTTGATCACCTCCCCCTGGGAGGTGCAGCCTTGCCAGGCCACAGTGGAAGATGATCCAGCCAGTCCTGCAGTGAGACCTGATAGGCCAGGGTCAGATAGAGGGGGAGGAGGTCCTCCCCTAGCAGTGGACTAGGGGAGTGGCATATGGGGAGGAGAGGGGGCTACAGTTGGGATATAAAGTGAATAAAATGTAATAAATAAAAATAAAATTAAATAAATAAAAAAGCATATTATCCAACATTTATGGCTGACTTCAAAAGGAAAGTTATTTTGACATGCCTTATTTACTCTGGTTCTAGAAGCAAAACTATTTTCCCAGACTTCTAAAATAACAGGTCTTTAGTTCATTTTAGGTTTCTTTTCAGTGTGAGTATCCCTAAACTACTGTGTCTATTAATGATGTTATTGATAAAATATGGTAAGGAATTTTATAAAATCAATACAATGTTTTTTCTTTTCAGGCTAAAGAGGCTGTAGCAGTTGAGCAATGGGATCCTACAAATATTTTCACTCAGTTTTATATATTCAAGATTGCAATCATGGAAGGAAACCCTTGACAGAGGTATAAAGGTTCTTTATATAGTAATGCAAACAATTAAAATCCTCAAAGAATAAAAAACAAACCTCACAATAAGAAAATAGGTACAGCTGGACATGGTGGTGTGGGCCTTTGATCCCAGCACTCAGGGAGACAGAGGCAGGAGGATCCCTGTGAGTGCAAGGCCAGCCTGGTCTATAAAGTGAGTACTGGACAACCAAGGCTACTTAGAGAAACCATGTCTCAAAAAAATAAGAAAAAAAAAGAAAGTAGACATACTGTTTTTAAGACATTGGACTGAATAGATATAAAATCATACAATAATGTTGAAGGCTGTTTTCTATAATTCGTGTTTTTCACCCACACACTTGTTCCTAAAAATAATGACTCTGAGGCTTAAATATGTTTACAAAAGCCTAGGCCAACATAGTTAGGCATGTTACCTGCTTGCTCATAACTAATATTCTGTTTATTCTTTTCTTAGTTCTTCCATGTGGCTTGTTACCTCGCTCATGTTTCATGCATCTGTCTTCCCAGCATTCATTCAGTCGCTCTACTAGAACTCCTCTCTCCTAGTTTCTACCTCAGCTATAGGCCAGTCAGCTATTTCCTGATGGGTGAAGAATCTATTCAGTATGCAATAGATTATACTTCCCCCTTCTAGTCCAAATTAAAGGCCTTTTCTCTTATTATAATAAACTATGAACAATAAGAACAATTATAAAACAATCAGGTAAGATTTGCATTCACAGTGTTTTGGCAGCTTTGGAGAAAGTACTGTTCTATCCTAGTGAGTTTAAAGTTTTGTACCCAAAGCACTTTCTATCATAGTTCATACTTATCAACCTAAAATATCTACTTAGATCTAAAAATTTTTTTAAAAACATTTTGTTAAATCCAAAACAATGTAATCTTAATTGTGAGACTATATTCAATCTAGTCTTCAACCCCATCAGAGACATGAGAAATAATAAATATTACCTGAGTTTGTAAGAAGTGCAGAGCAAGCAGCCTCCAAAATTACAGAAATGACTGAGGCAGTTACCCAAGGTTTTCAGCAACTGTTGGAGCATCATTTTCAGCCTCCTGGCCCAGAATATATGACAGACATTGTGTGTGTGTGTGTGTGTGTGTGTGTGTGTGTGTGTGTGTGTGTGAAGCAGGAATTATGAAAGACAAGCCTACCTTGTCCTTGCAAATCTTGGCTGCATCTAGCAAGTCCATTCTAGGTAGCATACTGTCATCAGTTGAGGCAAGGGCAGTTTCTTGCATAGTAGCTAGCTTGCCATGTTTGAAGCAAACTCCATAGGGAGATTCTTTAATGCTCATGTCTCTTCCTCAAAGGCAAAAGGGGCTGCTGCCAGGAGCACACATGTCTCATTGTCAAGAAATCCTTAAAATAATAAAAACATCTTTAAATGCCATATTCTGTAGGTTTCTGAGGTTTTGGAAGACCATCTATTTATAGCACATCTGAATAGGCAAATGTTGCTTGTTTCTAGCTATTTACTATCTGTTCAACCTAGGAAGCATATTTCTGTAATAAACTAGACTAATATCTGACATGACCATGAGTTTGACTGAATATTAACTTGCATTACTTAATCATCCTAAATAGTTTGTAATAGTAGCTTTTAAAAAGACTAGAACTTAATAAAATTAAATAAAAAAAGGAAAAAAAAAGAACTGAAAAAAAAAAGACTAGAACTTAATTTTGCATCCTAAAGAATCACGTAGGTACAATACCTCAAAAAGAGTTAACACATAGTATGTTGTAACCAAAATATAACCTTAATTTTGTATCAGTATACAAAGATTTATACCAGTGTAAGACTTTTTCTCTATTAATGCTCTATAGTTCAGGAGTGGATTCAATAATCTACCCTTTTTTCCCCATTATTCCTATATCATTTCTATATACAATCCCCCCCTTTTTTTTCCTTTCAACCCTTCTAACACTACATAAGAAAGAGAAAGGGAAGGAGAAAAGAAAAAGAGAGTAACCGTTAAGTTTAAGCTCCTAAGAAACTGGAGAATATGTGAAAGTAAAATGTAAAAGTAACTTTTTTTAACTTTTATTAATTACACTTTATTCACTTTGTATCCCCCCCACTTACCCCTCCCTCCTCCCCTCTTCATAATCCCACCTTCCCTCCCCCTTCTTCATGCATGCCCCTCCCCAAGTCCACTGATAGGGGAGGTCCTCCTCTCCTTCCTTCTGATCCTAGTCTATCAGATCTCATCAGGAGTGGCTGCATTGTCATCTTCTGTGGCCTGATAAGGCTCCTATCAAGGGGAGGTGATCAAAGAGCAGGCCAATCAGTTTATGTCAGAGACAGTCCTGTTCCCATTACTATGGAACCAACTTGGACACTGAACTGCCATGGGTTACATCTGTGCAGGGGTTCTAGGTTATCTCCATGCATGGTACTTGGTTGGAGTATGGAGTCTATGGAAAGACCCCTGTGTTCAAATTTTTTGGTTCTGTTGCTCTCCTTGTGGAGCTCCTGTCATCTCCAGATCTTACTATTTCCTACTTCTTTCATAAGATTCCATGCACTCTGCCCAACAGTTGGCCATAAGTCTCAGCATCTGCTTTGATAGTCTGCAGGGCAGAGCCTTTCAGAGGCCCTCTGTGGCAGGTTCATAACTTGTTTCTTGTTTTCTTCTTCTGATGTCCATCCTCTTTTCCTTTTGGGATGGGGATTGAGATTTTAGTCAGAGTCCTCCCTCTTGATTAGTTTTTTTAGGTGTACAGATTTTAGTAGGTTTATTCTATATTATTTGTCTATATGAATGAGTATATACTGTGTGTGTCTTTCTGCTTCTGGGATAGCTCACTCAGGATGATCCTTTCCAGTTCCCACCATTTACCTGCAAATTTCATGATTTCCTTGTTTTTCATTTCTGAGTAATATTCCATTGTGTAGATGTACCACAATTTCTGTATCCATTCTTCAGTTGAGGGGAAGACCCTAGAACTCATTGGTACAGGAGACAACTTCCTGAACAGAACACCAACAGCACAGGCTCTAAGAGAAACAATCAATAAATGGGACCTCATGAAACTGAAAAGCTTCTGTAAAGCAAAGGACACTGTTATCAGAACAAAACGAATGACTACATATTGGGAAAGAATCTTCACCAACCCTCTATCTGACAGAGGGCTAATATCCAGTATATATAAAGAACTAAAGAAGCTGAAAAGCAACAAGCCAAATAATCCAATTAAAAAATGGGGAACAGAGCTAAACAGAGAATTCTTGATAGAGAAATATCGAATGGCAGAGAAACACTTAAAGAAATGCTCAACGTTATTAGGCATCAGGGAAATGCAAATCAAAACGACCCTGAGATTTCACCCATCAGAATGGCCAAGATCAAAAACTCAAATGACAAAACATGCTGGAGAGGTTGTGTAGAAAGGGGAACCCTCCTCCACTGCTGGTGGAAATGTAAACTTGTACAACCACTCTGGAAATCAGTCTGGTGCTTTCTCAGACAACTAGGAATAACTCTCCCTCAATATCCAGCCATACCACTCCTAGGCATATATCCAAAAGAGGCTCAAGTACACAATAAGGACATTTGCTCAACCATGTTTGTAGCAGCTTTATTTGTAATAGCCAGAAGCTGGAAACAACCCAGATGCCCCTCAACTGAAGAATGGATAAAAGTAACTTTTATTTGCCATATATAATTGTCATCTCAGAGGCTTACTGCCTCTATCTGTTAACCTTGTCCTTGTCTTGAAATCTTCTAGCTTTCATACAAGCTACTCTAGGCCTAAAATGTTTTTAGTCTTTGAAACTTACTGCTACATAAGCTCACTCTTACTAGCTCTTTCTGAATTAGATGTCATTTTCTTTTTTTCTAGGTATATAAGGATATTTTGATGTCAGAATGCACAAAACATATTAATTGATTGATGGGGAAAATTTGTGTGTTTTTCCCCAAAAATGTACAGAATGCTGGGAAATATAAACTACATGTGATTTGAAATCTTTTCCTCTTCTTAATTTTTTAAAAATTTACTTTAGGGGAACCCTCTTCCATTGCTGGTGGGAATGTAAACTGGTACAATCACTTTGAAAATCAATCTGGCACTTTCTCAGACAATTAGGAATAGTGCTTCCTCAAGACCCAGCTATACCATTGCTAGGTATATACCCAAAATGTGCTCAAGTACACAACAAGGACATTTGTTCAACAATGTTTGTAGCAGCTTTATTTGTAATAGCCAAAACCTGGAAGCAACCCAGAGGTCCATGGATACAGAAATTGTGGTATTTTTACACAATGGAATACTACTCAGCAATCAAAAAAGAGGAAATCATGAAATTTGCAGGCAAATGGTGGGATCTAGAAAAGATCATTCTGAGTGAAGTATCTCAGAAGGAGAAAGACACACATGGTATATACTCACTTATATAGACCTATAAGATATGATAAACATAATGAAATCTATATACCTAAAGAAGATAAACAAGAAAGAGGACCCAGGGTAAGATGATCAACCCTCACTTAGAAAGACAAATGGGAGGTGCATTGTACGTAGGAGAAAATAGGAAACAGGACAGGAGCCAACCTCAGAGGGCCTCTGAAAGACTCTACCTAGCAGAGTATCAAAGCATATACTAAGACTCATAACCAAACCTGCTGCAGAGTGCAGGGAATCATATGAAAGAAGGGGGAGTTACAAAGACCTGAAGGGGACAGGAGCTCCACAAGGACCAAATATATGTGGGCACAGGGGTCTTTTCTGAGACTGACACTACACCAAGGACCATGTATGGATATAACCTAGAACCTTTGCTCGGATGTAACCTGTGGTAGCTCAGTAACCAATTAGTTTTCCTAGTAAGGGGAAGAGGGACTATTTCTGACAGAGACTCAATGGCAGGCTCTTTGACCTCCCCGCCCCCCAATGGAGGAGCAGTCCTGCTAGGCCACAGAGGAGGACATTGCAGCCAGTTCTGAAGATACTTGATAAAACAGGGTCAGATGAAAGGGGAG